TTTTTAGTAGAGACAGGGTTTCACTGTGTTAGCCAGGATGGTCTTGATCTCCTGACCTCGTGATCCGCCCGCCTCAGCCTCCCAAAGTGCTGGGATGACAGGTGTGAGCCACTGCGCCTGGCCGAGAATGTTTTTATATACAAATGAGATGGAGAATGAGGCCTTGGGCTGAGAGAAAAGGAAAGCTGGAAGCCCTTCCTATTCACCGCTGTGATAATAGAGTAAGAATTTCAGATGACAGTCTAAAAAAGTATTTCTTAGCCCTGCCTTCCATCCACAGGGGCAGAGGAGGGCTTTATTCCTAGGTAGAGAATGCCTGGCCACAGATAGGATAGCCTCTTCCCTCCAAAGCAGGACATGGTCAAAGAACAGGACAGTCATTTCCTGCTCAGATTTCAAGTATCTTATCCAGAAATGCAGGGCATTTTCCCTGCTCTGTCCTCCATGCCCCTCCTCCCCATGCACTGCGCTCATGCCACTAATAATGCAGCGTCAACGAAGTTCGACAGTACGGGGATTTCCTTAACAGCGGAAGCCACTGACTGCACCCCAACATATACTGATGTCATCAGCGAGACCCTGTGCAGCATGAAGAAGCGGAAAGACAACCTCAATCAGTTGTACCAGCGTCACTGGAGTGAATGGAATTATTTTGACAAGCATCTAAAGGAACTGCAAGACAACTTCTCCAGGTATGGAAGGGGCTTTGGGGAATGCCATTGCTCCAGCACTCATCTTTTGCAGCACATTGTCATCATCATCATCATTTTTAAATGGGTTGGTGGGGGCGGGGGGGTTTCCTGTAACTATCATAAGCATAATCAGCTTTCTTGTGGTCAGAATATAAACTCCTAATAACAGAGACCAGAGCTTTTTTTGTTATTTTTGTTATTTTTTTTTGTTATTTTTTTTTTCTAACTACAAAAACATTATGTGTTCAATGAAAGCAAACAAAGGATCCGGAAAACCACATAAAAGTACCAAGAGATACACATTGCCAATATTTTCCCGTAAATCCTTCCAGTCTTTTTTTTCTGGGCCCATATATCTGCATCACTAAATAAAGTAGTAGAATCATATTGTCAGTCTGTTTTTTAGAACTATTTTTTCCCACTTTGCAGCATATTATGGACATTTTCCTCTGTCTTCTGCCTTTTTCAAAATTTTTATTTTACTTAGAAAAACCTTTCAGAAAGTTGATAGTACACTGAACAAGCATGTGCCATCAGGCATTTACCAAGTATTCACATTTTGCCCCATTTGCTTTCTTTCTCTAATATCTAATCCAAATTCAAATTTCCCCAATTGTCCCCAAACTGTATTTTTATTTTTGGAGACAGGGTCTTACTCAGTCACCCAGGCTGGAGTGCAGCAGCTCAATTACAGCCCACTGCAGCTTCGAACTCCTGGGTTCAAGTGATCCTCCTGCCTTAACCTCCTCTGGAGTGCTGGGATTACAGACATGAGCCACCGTGCCTAACTCAATGTGTCTTTTTTGGCTTTACCTGCTGCTCCAGTATCCAATCAAGAATCATGAACTATATTTTGTTTTTTGTTTTTTTGAGACAGAGTCTCAGTCTGTCGCCCAGGCTGGAGTGCAGTGG